AGCAAGGAGCCTTCCATTACTAACACTCATCAGTTTTTCTGATATTCCTCTGTGGCTCATGGTCAATGGGCTCAGACAACCTCATTTGACAGAGCTCCCTGCCCCCAATTTGCTATGAAAGCACTGAATCTATTCTTCAGGTGAAGCAAGAGCCACCTTCTTGGTGTCAGAAGTCACAAGCTCCCAGCCTTCGTCATTGTGGAAATCTCAATTTCTGTGGTGGGTTGATCCTAGCTGGATGCCAGGGGCCTACCAAAGCCACTCTATCACTCCCCTCCTCAACTGGACAGGGGAGAGAAAATATAATGAAAGGCTTGTGTATCAAGTATAGGGGCAGGGAGAGATCACTCAGCAATTACCATCATGGGCAAAACAGACTTGACTTGGGGAAAACTAAATTATTACCAATCAAATCAGAGTAGGATAATGAGAAATAAAAACTAAATCTTAAAAACAACTTCCCCCCACCCCTCCCTTCTACCCAGGCTCAACTTTACTCCCTATTTTCTCCCACTCAGTGGTGCAAGGGGATGGGGGATGGGAGTTGTGGTTAGTGCATCACATGTTGTTCCTGTGGGTCCTTCTTCCTCAGGGGGAGGACTCCTCACACATTTCCCCTGCTCCAGCGTGGGGTCCCTCTCACAGGAGACAGTCCTCCATGAATTTCTCCAGCATGAGTCCTTCTCACAGGCTGCAGTTCTTCACGCACTTCTCCAGTGTGGGTCCATCCCTCCCACAGGGTGCAGTTCCTCAGGAGCAGACGGTTCAAGTGTGGGTCCCCCCCAGGGTCACCAGCCCTGCCAGGAGCCTGCTCCAGTGCAGGCTTTCCATGGGGTCACAGCCTCCTTTGGGCATCTCCCCTGCTCTGGCGTGGGGTCCTCCCCAGGCTGCGGGGGGAGATCTGCTCCCCTGGGGACCTCCAGGGGCTGCAGAGTGACAGCCTGCCCCACCATGGGCTGAACCAGGGGCTGCAGGGGAATCTCTGCTCCGGCGCCTGGAGCACCTCTTCCCCCTCCTTCTTCACTGACCTTGGTGTCTGCAGAGTTGTTTCTCTCACATATTCTCACTCCTCTCTTCTCCAGCTGCAGTTGCACAGGTTTTTTCCCCCTTCTTAAATATGTTATCTGAGAGGCGTTATCACCATCGCTGATTGGCTTGGCCTTGGCCAGCGGTGGGTCCATCCTGGACCTGGCTGGCACTGGCTCTATCGGACATGGAGGAAGCTTCTAGCAGCTTCTAACAGAAGCCACCCCTGTATCCTCCCCACTACCAAAATATTGCCACTCAGACCCAATACAATTTCCTATCTTGATGACCACAGACTCAACCTGCCTCTCCGTTATTAGAAAAGGGAAGAGTGGGATCTTGAAGATGCAGGGTCTCATACTGAGTCATTCTCTTCCCATCAAGGTCCAGGTAGTGCTAATGATGCAAAAGTTGATCATCATGAAGGATTTGATCAGTCTGCAACAACTCCTTTATTCTTTAATAGGCACTTGCATGGGTACAGTGCCTCTGCCTAACAAAGAACACTCATTTTGTCTACTTTCTCACCTTACCTAAAACAGCATTAAGACTTCCTAAGGCACCAAATGACCCCCAGACACCAACTCTAAGAGCCCACATCAGGCACATTCCTTATGCTCCTGGGACTGAAACCAAATTCAAGGTGAAAAAGTAGGTAGCTTCCTGCAGCACAGAATTATTTTCATAAATTCTTTGAAATAGCACTAAAAGTTCTGATTATTTTTTTCCTGCTTTCTATCCAGCTTAACTCTATGAGACTTTTCAGAGGTGTCATGTATTCCCAAAGTTTTGACTTATAATTCAACCTTTTTGACTTATTTTAGACCATCCTTTGAAAGCCATATCATGTTTCTTCATGTGGTATGTTGGGGCAGAAACCACACGAGAAATCATGTGACTGCCTGTATAATCCAGAATTCTGTGTAGTGAAAAGGAAGAGACAGTTTTTGTAATGGAATATATCACTGTGTTTGGGGGCTGGAGTACCACAATGATATAAGCAACACAGGGCCCTGTACAAAAACCCAAAGATGGAAAAAAGGTAATATATTATGGGGAAGAAAGGAGAGGGGTGACTGGAATGATTATGGAGACAAATACAGCATTCTTTTAATATTTCTATTTACCCTGGAAATATAGAACTCACGGGGTTTCTAAAAGATGGAAGAAAGGGAGAAGTTGGAAATTCTGTATACAATCAAGCTATTTGAAATCGTTGAGCTATTCAATTATTGTTTTTCCCTTTCCAGCTGGAAAAGAAAATGTGGCTCTGGATACTCTCATGGGATTATGTACACGGATAATTCGGGCAAATATTTGGCTTTTCATCTCCTGTTTTTACAACACTTCTGAATACCACGAGGAAAGAGTTATTTATTGGACTAAGTAGTAGCAGTGTGAGGACAGATAAGCTTATATTTGGAAGTGGGACCACTCTTACAGTTGAACCAAGTAAGTATCAATATTTTTTTTCTAAAAATTCTGTTAAAATTAAGGTGGGAGAGGACAAAAGTATCTAATGTTTTGGGTTCACTGTAAGAATTTTCTGCTGCAATAATCCCTGGAGTGCATTGTCTCCAGGCAGAGTTTCAAGCTGAATCCTCAGGCTTAGGAAAGCTTTAGAGGAACAATTGGGCTACCTCTGTACTCCATGATCCCCAAACATTTGGTGTCCACTACTTAAGTTTAACATGTTATAATTTATTCCCACTGTGGCCCAAATTTACGGTGAAGTG